TGGCAGAGGAGTATGAAGGAGATCACGAAACGCTTGGTTGCTGTCGGTGCTACTCGCCTTCCAGGATGGGGACCGCGTGATCCTCACTGTGCCTGGTTGGAGACACTACAAGATATGGCTGCCAACCGATGTCAGTGGCGTTCTTGTTGTCAGTTTCTGTCCAGATTGCCTGAGTGAATGTCTGGAGGTGTAGGCACTTCGGAATGATTGTGTTAAGCTAGCACTAAGTCCCTCCTCCATACGCCTTTATTCTTTTCTTTACAATAAGGCTTTCAAATAAGTCATGGTTGTACGGCAGTGAAGCATCGGTATTGAACACTGATGTCTTGCTGTTGATGATGATTCTGGATGGTGAAAGGCCATTCTGTCCTCTCGGTACATTACAGCGCCAGAGTTAAGTTGCCGGTTCGTACATTCGTTCGTCCCTGCTTGGTCCACATGAAGATGCATTGCTAAACCATGGGGAACCACCAAACTACTGAATACGGAAAAATTCTCCGCCAACGGTCACACTGTTATTTGAGCAGGTCTCTCAGATGACAAACGTTTATTATTACAAGACTATTACCATCAGTATCAAGATCATTTCCTGCAGTGTTGCATTCCCGAAGTTCATTACATCTGGACTGCAGATTTTGACGCCGATACAATTACTAAATTAAATCAATCCTTAACACATCTCTGACTGAGATAAACTTTTAAACGTAAACACAAGTTAGATGCCAACTCTACCACCGAACGCACAACATTTGCTCCCGAATTCACGAAAATGCAATGACTAGGTGGTTGTTTGTTGGCTGGAAATAAATGCAACTCAGAGCCAAACAACCTGCTTGATTCTGTTCATGTTCTCACCGTAGTGTCGAGCGAATTAAACCGGTGGCCTTCCGTCAAACACTGTTGATACGAACACCAAAGCTCTATTTCTAGACACAGAAAGTGGTGAATCAAATCCGAATGCCCTGCCACTGAGCTTAACCCGTTCCCTCCTCACAGTAAACCGGCCTTAGACGTCCTCATCCGCTTATTTCAATATCCGTCACCAATAAACACTGAATATTTTACTCCTCTGACGGACGAAAAAAACAACACATATTGACACCTAACAAATCTTTCAACTGTTCTGATTATGCGATAGCATTTACTGGTTTGCATACGAACAGACCACCAACTGAGAATTACGTTGAAGAAAGTGAGGCGCAAATTGCTACTAAAGATAGAAGTCCAACCCTGTCGCGAACGCGGTGATCGGTTCACTGGTAGAAACAAACCCAAACACTGCTTGATAACTGTACGGAGGCCAGCCGTCCTTAATAACCGAACACATCATTTGGACGGATGTGTCACGTGCAGGACACGGGCCAAATGAAGGCACGCCTGATTGGTCAGAATGCCAGCCAATCCGAGCCAAGCACCTTTGACTCGACACTTCTCGCCCCCTCACGGACATTCTGGTCTGACCTTTTGGAACACTCTGTGACTACCCTATAAATACAGTTGTAATGATTTTCCTTTGTCTCCATAAAGGGCTGTGTAGAGCTACCGTGCCTTTTGATACACCATAGTGGGCGGAGCAGGAAGCCAAGGGACCGATATAGAGTTGCACTACCGTTCAGCAAGACACAATAATAACGGAATGACTGAGTTCCTTGCATTGACAGAGAAAAGGCACTAGGATCCGACATTCCATTGTTATCACGGATAACATCAAGTGACTGACTTGTTCATCTCAAGTGAGACCACCAAGCATGAATGACCATATGATCCATTGGGTCTTCATTTCTTTTTTATTATCCAGGAAAGACATCCTTGTCAGATAAAGCTACAGACAAGCCTGTTTTGATGTAAAAAATCTTCCACAAACGTATCATATCTCCATCATTCTGATTTCGTGACCTGCGACCGGGCATAACCATATTCCTTGTGCGCCTCACTGAGCCGTTGGTTCATCGACAGTCTGAGTGAGTTGTAGTCTTGCTCTTAAGAGAAACAAGTCATTGAGAGAAAAAATTCTTTTTTCGGGTAGATAAAAAGAAGATGATCGTTCAACCACCCGAAGGAATCACAAGGGCTGGGAGGCCGCCAGGTCGTTCAAGCCCAGACAGGAGAAGTCGGAATGTGGAGGTCGGGTTCGAACTAGGGACCTTCCGGTCAGTAAATTCGCGTTCTAACCACCATTAAAGAATTAGGGACCTTTCAAGAAAATCGCGTTCTAACCACCATTAAAGAATAGCCTTTGATAACGTACTTCGTTGTCTAAACACTGTTCACTCAAGTAAGCAGTGCATTTTGTGGAGTTTCATCTCCACCAAAGTTGGCGAATGATCAACAACAGCGTCTAAGTAGACAATGTCATCTCTATTGTTTAGATGGTCAAAGTCTCAAACCAACATCTCCAAGGCACGTACTGAATGTCATCTACGAACAAATAACGAAACATGAGAACGACCACAGCTGACTTGGTTTTACTCTTGAACACCTCGGTTTTTGTGTTGTTTTGCAAAGGCAATTTAGAGGCGGGCTGATAGAACTCCATTACTGTTTCCCACGCAACTTAGGAAGCTTATCAGAAAAAAAAGCTAAAGTGAGGTGAACGGGCTAAACAGACAGAACGACCGCTTGAATGAAATGTACTTCCGAACGCGACTTGGCGACAGGATTTGACGCCGATAGGGAGTGTCTCGAAGCAGCTATTTGGTACCAGACATCAGGATCGGCAACGTTGCGGGGTATAGGTAGCTCAGGTGCGCACTTTGGGTGTTTGTCTGTTCTGATACCCTATCAGATGTTGTTTACAGACTATACTGGCACAAGCAGAAGAGGAACTCAACTCAACCCCGCACTGACGAAGTCACCTCGACTGATGATGAAATTTTTGCAATCCCACTCCCACACTCGGCCAACAGACCAACAACCAAGCCGTAACGGTTATACGGACAATGCGTGAACTCACTAAAACAGTTAACCACTGCTATTTCCCTTTGCTTCTTTCGAGCCGTCCAACCATACTGCTCCTCAATAGTTTCAGGCAATTGCTATACATGTTACCTGGGATCACCACTGACACGCACACTGAACAAGTGACTGCTCTGTTCAACTAGTATGTCCCCGGTGAAAGCATTGCTGGTTAGGATTACGCCTGTACCTAGGTATCGATCGATTGCTTGCAAGTGTGCAATTTTAAAACTGCTTGATGAAAAATGAGTCACCTTTTCGCCTGAGAGCCTTAATCGGTTTGAATATCGAAGAGCAATCTTGATGCTGTTGCGTACTCTCCATCGCTTCTTCACTTGTTTTCATGGATTACACCAGTCGTTTTGATGGCGGTTGCAAACGGGTCCCGTATGAAGGTAGGGGTGAGGTGTGCGTGGTCCAGCTTCTTGAAGATTATTTAGGACCCAGCTTACAAGTCTGGATAACTGTACGTCCCTCGCGACCACTACGGGTGTTCTTCGCTTCTTTTCTCCCTAAATGTTCACAGTCTGCTTATCTCCACTTTTTCATTAAATGCATTCTTTGGCTGCACACACGGAATGCAGGAGGTCAGCAACAGGAGAGTGCACTGTCAGCCCGTTCTATCAAGTATCAAGGCATAGGATTCATCCACAATTCAAGGGGGGCTACACTTCCCTCACTACAGTTTGCATTTCAAGATACTTCGGAGCGACCTGTCCTGTCAACTAAGCGCAGCCGATAACCTGCACTGCAAACACTCGAGTTCAAACCCGGTATGTTGTGGGTACACCACCAGCTCACCTTGAACAATGCTCCTTCGTGTGTCCTCCCATACCGGACTTGTAGTTCTGCTGTTGTACTCCATGGACTAGAAAAGAAAACAAATTGTCGTTATTCCTGTGTCCTCCCATACCGGACTTGTAGTTCCACTCCATGGACTAGAAAAGAAAACAAATTGTCGTTATTCCATACCCCGTGAAGCGGGGGCTATCGTCATCAACTATGTGGTTAGGTTTTCTCGGAATCCTAAAGGCTCTTCTATCCCTTTCTCACCGAAACCGTTTCAGCTTCGTCAATAGTCAAACCCATGTGTGTTTGTACCATAAACCTCCGTAACTCTGTTGTCCCCTGCTTAGTCTGATACTAGACTAATAGTATCGTTTCTATGAACCTTCTGAGACGCGGGTCTTATAGCCTGATAATCTATCAGGCTACTAGAAAATTGTGTTCTTCAAATCCACCGAGAATTTGCCTCAGTATACTTGGATCCCTATTTGAATTGAGTTAGCTTAACCTTAGACCTGAGCTGCGCCATCGATAACAAAAACGACCAGAGCCAAGGGAAGTTTGCATGAACGCTATGTCAGAAATTTCATTTGACATTTGAAAATCTGCATTCGATCTGTTTTGTGCGAAAGCAGCACGCAGTCTCGTAGACCACAAAACAGGCGGTGCTTCCAGGCACACGATCGTCGTCACATACCCACAGTTCCAAGCTGATGCTTTAAGATGCCGACTAGTTAGTCGAGGGAGGGAATACCATCTGCGAGGACAAAGGAAGGCTCGGACCGACACAATCAAAGCCAATGCGAAACAACCTGACCTCAACGTGGCCCGTTGCTGGGACGACAGGTGGGTAGCTATTAGCTGGTCTTCCCTACTTCTGGAAACACTGTGAAATCTACTCACCTGGTTTGACGCGAAAAATGCGAGAAAACATATACCGTTAGGATGCAACCTCAAGAAGAGCTGGTTGATGAATTGGTTACAATTATCCGAGTTCAAATGATTGCATAAAGCGAACAGTCCGTTGTTAATTGATTTGAATCTGACGTCAAATCGTCGAGACATGTTGAAACGTGAGAAACCAGGCCATCCTCTGATCGCTTGAGGAAAATCAGTCCGAGAGAGATCTCAATGAGCGAGACTATCCGGTTTTGGAGGAAAAAAGGAAGGTACTACATTTTTCTGTTATGTCTTTCATTACTAATATGTACACAAGAAAGAATGGCAATGGGACGTTTGCAAACGAGAACAAAGCTCACGAAAAACAAGCCCGGTTGGTGATTTTTCAAAGAGAATAAGAGAATGGGAATAGAACCCCATAAAAAAGGTCAAAATTTGAATTCCTTGTACTTCTTGGCCGCCGTCTGCAGCGGAGCTTCCAGCTGTGATGTGGATAGGACGCTCCCACCACCAGATTTCAAACCGCCAGCCACACTTTGTTGGGACTCCGTACCGGAGACTCGCTTCTGAAGCATTTGAGCACGCGGATCCTCAGCCTGGAATAAAGAAAACAAAAGACGTGTGTCCATGGAAGTCAAATAAAACACATTCAATATGAACTAGCTAACAAGGACAAGACTTCGTGATCCATAATTTACCTCAATACCACGTTGAGCACCAGTGGCCCCGGTGACGTCGTACAGCTTGGTGCTACCCATTAGCGCATTAGGCTGCAGGCCCGTTTCGCGTTCAGGCAACACGCGGTACAATTGTGCAGAGGGAGTCACCAAGCCTGTGCTGTCTTCCATAGCTTCCTCTATGGTCTTCTTTCGCAACTCAATTGTGCTCTGTGGAGTCTCCAAGCCCAGCCCGACGCTGGAAACGCCACTTGGTGTGATCAAGCTGAAAAATTAAAGAAGGGGAATTACGATAGCTGAGGTAAGTGGAACACGCCTTAAGGCTTCGACGAACGGACAGAAAACACGTGGCAAGTACAGAGAGAAGACTGGTTTATTTGTTGACTACAGATGGGCAGGTTTCGAATGACCAGACCACGGGGAAAACAATTACCAAAACACTCCAAACCTGCGCTGGGTAACCTAACCAGACACAGGAGATTGAGACCACGTCAGATTTACAGGAGACCAATCAAACTATGCGAAGACCGTTTCCAGAACCACCAGGTACTGTTTAGAAGCTATATAATCACAGGCAGAAGAGGAGGAATTCACCCACTCAACCCTGCACTGACGATGTCACCTCGATTGATGATGAAACGTTTGCAATCCAACTGCCAAGCTCGGCGAACGGACCAACAACCAAGCAGCGCACCCGAGCTACGTACAGTCTACAACATTACTAACCTAAGTAAACTTTACGAGACCCATTGGACAGCATCGCGAATATGTGAACAGATCGATTCCCCTAACCGGACGTAGTGTCCTTTCACCACTCGGCTGTACGTAGCCCATGAGAATCTTAGGTCAAGAGTGCGGCAGCGACCCCCAAACCTTCCCAGTCACACTCTAAGCATGCATTGTCACATCTACGAGTTTGGCACATTCAGGATGTTGAGGACAAGATAACTTTGGTCCGGATGAACTTTGATGTATAGTGCCTGCTTGGTGGTAGTTTATGCCTGGGTTCGTATAAAGTAAAAAGTAAAAAACCAGAAATACGAAGGACACATTTGTGGTGTGTAAATAGTGCAAATAGCGGAGGGTACGACTCGATGCCATCTAGCTACCGCAAAGCAGCAGTGTTTCTCGGGAAATGCAAACACACTTCCACGGAACAAGTCGCCACATGTTCCGGCCCCCAACCTAGAAGACCAGGAGACTGTGTTTGTCAGACCTCTAACCATTGAACAACCGGGTATGAGGGACTCTGGGTGTCACGGAAGCACCTCCAGTATAGCTCGATGGGTTGCTGAGGTGCACAAACCGTCACACTACGGCAAGGTTCAGTCTTTTCGTGGCTGAACGGTCATAGATTGTTTCATACGTTAGGCACTCTGTAGTCCGTTTGGAAAGGTTCCGCCACAGTAAAGGGCGGAGCGATCCATCCAGTCGCATGACTAAGGACGAAAGATAATTCACCCCGCAGTCACATATTGCACAAAACTCAAGTACTTACCCACTAGCGGGAGTAACCAGACCACCCAAATCCAGTTCAGGACGAGCCACTCCCGCCCCAGGCAGAGTGACGAGCACTTTTTCTGTATCGGCGAGAGACGAAGCCGCCATCCCTTCGGCACCCATCTCCTCGTCTGTATCCATGTCCTCCTCATCCTCACCTTCTGACTCTTCATCGGACTCCAATTCGCCCCAGAAGCTGACAGTGCCTTGGGCTGCAATAAATCGAGAAACGAGTTGAAAATTGGTCAAAATGTCCCCTAAATCCGAACTAGAACGTGTTTCATCAAGATACTAAAATATAACTCACCAATTTGTTCATCTGCATCATCCAGCGAACTTGGTGCGGGTGGGGGTGGGGGCACGCCAGCAATGTTACCACCATTCCCAAACACATCTCCGTAAACCGGACGACCCAGTTCGTCCACAGGAGGTTTGCCCCACCCACCTGGGTGGTAGCCAAACGCGCACCCGTCAGGAATCGGGGCATTCAGTCCAGGAATCTTCAGATTCGGATAGGATGGAGGTGGGCCATAGCGCTGCATTGCAATCAGCCAAGGAGGCGGGTATCGCTCGGCCCCCTAAAGAGTGGGAATGTGAGGGGAATATGGTATTGAACGTCGCTTCGAACGAGGAAAACGTAAAAGCCCCAACAGTTGGCTTGGCACGGGAAAAGAGGATGGCGGGAAATCACATTAAAAGACAGGCCAAACACTACAACCATTTCGTCAACATCAGTTCATAACTGTCGTATGATGGGTCGTATAGTGGATCTAGTGGCGACAGAATCGTTCACCGTTGAAGTTAGGACAGCGGATGAAGGGGGCAACAGACTGGATCCTTAGTGTCGAGGTAATCACGATAAGCAGTTACGGACAAATTAAGCGGTGAAGATTGGCAACGAAGCGAAGGAAGTAGTCCGCATGCCGAGATGTCATTTGATGGCCCACATCTATCAGTTCAAGAAGGAGACAGCACGGCAGGAAAATGCCCTTCGACGAACGAACACAAGGTTCCTAAGAAGTCAGACAAACCCTAAAACTTTTCCGGATGTCCGGTGAAGGCCATGTGTCAGCAAGGGAGTGCAACCGAACAAAGTGGCGAAAACCAACAGAATCGAATAGGACGGTCGGTTAGCCACCAGTATTGCCTCAAATTGCGTACAAACTGTGCTGCTCATAGCTCCCATCAGTAGCATGCGTCCACCACAACAATTTACCTAGCTGTTACGTGACTAACAGACTTTTTTTAGAGGGACACCCAGAAACACAATTAAATTCCCACCATAAATATGGAAGTGTGTAGGCACCATTACGTCACAGTGTTCAATTCAAAGGCTTGTCAATATCGGGGAAACCGGGCCCATCAAAAATAATATATAGACAAATGCATAAGCTGATAAACGGGTTCCTAATCGAAAACATCGGACAGAGTCAACTTTAGTCTAGTAAATAAGTGTCCCTTCCCATTGTAGAAGAACAAGCCGAGAACCGAATAACATCGTTTCACCTTCTTTCAACTTGATCAGCCATAGCAGTGGGGTAATCCAGTGAGGCCGGTACCGTTGCGCAGAAGATGGAAGACGATTAGCTGCCGCCGACTATCCACCAGTATCCCCATAGCGTTGCGTACTTCAAACGTAATGCTGTGCAATACTTGGCAAGGGACCTATAATGCCTGATAAAACCGCACAAACTGGAATGGCATATACGTGCAGAGCTGAGGTAGCAAAAGACCCAGGACTAAGTAAAAGCACTGGCCTCGCAAGGGCAGATTGTCTGCGATGGCTGGTTGGAAACCCCTGCTGATGTGGACGATTCACGTAAATGGAACAGTCCATGTATTCAACAACCACCTCCAATTATTAATTTTACCCGCTCGTTTTGTTGTGTTTTTTTCAGCGCCAGAAACCAGAAGGCGTTACAAAGGCTCGAAACAACTGCAATCATGTTAAAAAGCAATTCGCTCAACAAAACAA